CCCCCGCGCCTGGCTGTTCCTCGCCTGGGCCCCTTGGAGGGGAGCGGGTTGAGCTTTCCTCCCTGCCCTGACATCATATCAGGACATCTTTTTATGACATCTTATTATCTCATTCCTACTTTGGACAAACTTGCAGGCTAGCGAATGTAGCCTGCCCACAGGGCAGAGTCTGGCAAACTCCCCGTGGCCTACCAAATATGCCAAATACCAGTAACAATGATGGGTCTCATTCTCCTAAAGAGCCTTGAATATAATCTCAGGGCTAGGATGAAAGAGACGTTACTGGGGCCTGCTCGAGGCAATCGACGAATAACAGGATGATGAAATGAACATGAAATGAAATGATGATAAACAGAACGAAATAATCATAAAAGGACAAATATTGAATGATTTTTCATATCTGGTTTCTAGAGAACAGGAGTCAAATGAATAAGCGATAGAGCAGTCATTTTCAAGAGTCAAATGTTTGAGGCACTTGAACATTATTCAATTTACAGAAGAATTTCACACTTGCTAAGAATTTTGATAAGTTTCTCATCCAGGAATAAGTAATATCGAGAAAAAAGATTATTTGGATCCCTAGAGGCAAAAAGATTTGGAGGGTTAGCATTACTTGGGCTTCCATACATTCCTGAAACAGGAGATGAAATAAAAAGTGTTTCTGATTTGTCTTCCAACGGTAACTTTTATGGATATCAGATGTTGTAGATAAGTACAAGCATAAATTGAGAAGAAATATTTGTCAAGATCTTTCTTTAAATGTAGGATTGAATCAAAGTGCCAGCTCTATTTTTTGTTTTACAGAAAACAATATATAATTCTGCATCGTGTTCTGCTTTTTAACTTTCCACAAGATCTTCGACTCAAAGGACAGCACAAATGCCCAAGAAGCAGTCTCATTGGGACTCAGCACACCTTTCAGTCTTTCTTTGAATTTGACCTAAATTGAGTTTTGGTTGTAAAAAATTGTTGAAATCTCAAATACATTTTCATTTCAATAAACTATTTACAACCCTAAACTTGCTTTCATTATCTGACTATTATAGAGGATTTAGTGGAAATAGTTCATTTATTTATTTTTTATTAAAAAAATTTTTATTAGTGAAACTCCATGAGGTACAGTTGTAGTGTGTAAACTCACTCAGTTGTAGTGTGTAAAAGGAGTGCAGCCGCAGTGGCTCTATCTTTCCCGCCGCCCACGGTCCGTAGTCTCATGCTGGTTTTGGGCAGGCAAAGCAAGCAACGAGGGCCAGGCTGGTTGGTCTTAGTTGCAGTTTATTCCATTCCCATTTCCATTCTCCTCTAATTCTCCTCCTGCTTTTTCCTCCCCCATTCTACTTCATTATCCTTCTCGATCCCCCTTCATCCTCCTTCTGACTGTGGAATCTGGATACTGATCTCGATCCCCTTTCTCCTCTTGCACTGGAGTCTGGATTCTGATCCCCCATCCCACGTTTACAGTACAGTTAAATCCCAAAGCATGAGGGGTTGGGGTAACAATTACACATAAGTGTGGTCACAATCAATAGGGGTAGAATTCTTTCCCTCGGGGAAAGCTGTTTCTAGGACAGGTACTCTCTCAGCAGGAAGACCCACCCTAGAGCGGAATCCCAGGGGTGTGTTTCTCCTCTCCTTGACAAACAAATATATAAGCATTCATGATATAAATAATTTTGTATGGATACAGTAAGTAATATCTTAAACTTATAGAATAGCTCTGCTAGGGCCATCTCTATGTCAGACTCTAGTGCTCAGGCCAGATAGTCGTTCCTATCCCTAGCAGGGTCCTAGTCTCGTCATTACTTTTGGATCATGACACCATTTGTCTATGATCAAGCTCTTAACTTATAGTTAAGAATTGTGGCATTTTGGCTCAGCCCATTTTGTTGCCAGGGTAGCTCACCACTTGCCCTGGGTCCATTCAGTCCTTCGTTGGAACCCTGCTTTTGGAGTGTTAGGAACCAAGGGCAACTGAGACTTAAGTCGAGAAAGCAGATGCCAGGGAGTGAATAATATTCAGAGCCAAATCAATCCTAACTTACAAAGCATAATATTAACGGTCTTCCTGTATCTATACAAAAAGGACATTACTTTATTTTTTAAACATTTTTATTGGTGAGACACTATGAGGTACAGTTGTAGACTTACACATTTTTGTGCTTGGGTTTCAATTACACAATGATCAAATACCCATCCCACCACCAGTTCCCATTTCCCACCAGCACGGATCCCAGTATCCCTACCACTACCCATCCCCCCCATCCCACCCTGCCTTTGTGACAGGGCATTCCCTTTTGTTCTCTCTCTCCTTTTGGGTGTTGTGGTTTGCAAAAGGGCACTGAGTGACAATCATGTTCGTCTATAATCTATTTTCAGCATGCTTCTCCCATTCTTGGAGGATCCTCCCAACACCCTTTATTTGGTGCTCCTTCTCTATCTGAGCTCCCTTTTCCCCTAGCATGTGTGGCTGGCCTCCAAGCCATGGAGCAAAATTCCTGGTACTAATCTCAACCATTCTTGGGTGTTAGTGTCCTATTTTGTTACTTTATTTTCCCAGATGAATGCAATCTTTCTATGTCTATCCGTGTCTTTCTGAGTCATTTCGCTTAACATGATACTTTCCATGTAGTACCACTTGTACGTAAATTTCATAACTTTGTCTTTTCTAACACCTACATAGTACTCCGTTGTGTAAATTTACCAAAGTTTCTTACACCAGTCATCTGTTCTCTGGCACTCAGGTTTTTTCCAGAGTCTGTCTATTGTAAAGAGTGCTTCAATGAACAAACAAGTTCAGATGTCACTTCGACTATTCTATTTTGCCTCTCTGGGATGTATTTCCAGGAGTGGTATTGCTGGATCAAATGGGAGCTCAATTTCTAATTTTTTGAGAATTGTCCAAACTGTTTTCCAAAAGGGCTGAACCCTTTTGGTGGCATTTCCACCAGCAGTGAGGGAGGGTCCCTTTCTCACCACATCTGTGCTAGCACCGGTTGCTTTTCTTCTTTTGGATGTGGGCCTGTCTCTGTGGTGTGAAATGATATCTTATTGTGGTTTTTTTGATCTGCATCTCCCTGATGATTAATGTTGTGGAGCATTTTCTCATGTGCCTTTTAGCGATTCGGATATCTTCTTTGAGCAAGTTTCTATTTATTTCATTGCCCCATTTTTTGATGAGTTTGAATTTTTCTTCTTGTGGATTTTAACCAGTACTTTGTATATCCTTGATATCAACCACTTGTCGGATGTGTATTCAGCGAATATCCTTTCCCATTCTGTGGACTGTCTTTGTATTTTGGTCACTGTTTCTTTGGAGGTGCAGAAGCTTCTTAGTTTAAGATAGTCCCATTTGTCTACCTCTGTTTTCACTTGCTTGGCCAGTGGCGTGACATCTTTGAAGATACCATTGGCTTCAATGTCATGGAGCGTTTTGCCAACTTTTTTTCAATGTACCTTATGGATTTCGGTCTGATGTTGAGGTCTTTAATCCACTTTGATCCTACTTTTGTACATGGCGTTAGGCAGAGATTTGAGCCCACTTTTTGCATGTAGCCGAAAGTCATTACTTTAAAGTAAACGATTCAAAAGACATAAGGAGAGGAGAAAGGCAACATTAACTTACAATACAACTTCAGTGTCCTAGAAGGATCTGAACTTACAAATGAACAGAGTCTGATTAGGGGAAAATGCTGATTAACTGGTGGAAGAAGAGACCATACAGAAGTGGTTACAGATAAATGAAGAAATGGGAGTGAGTGACTTGGGAGCACTGTGATAGGTGTAACCTGATAAACCTAAGCTCCTTGTGGAGAAAGGGAGAAAGGACAAAGCAATGTCATTCTACATTGTAGACTTACAAACTTTTATGTTTGGGTTTCAGTTATACAATGATCGAATACTCATCCCTCCACCAGTGCCCATTCTTCACCACCACTGATCCCAGTATCCCTCCCAGCCCCCATACCCCACATTGCACCCTGCCTTCATGGCAGGGCATTCCCTTTGTTCTCTCTCTCCTCTTTGGGTGCTGTGGTTTTCAAAAGAGGCATTGAGTGGCAACGATGTTCGGTCTATAGTCTACTTTCAGCATGCATCTCCCATCCTGGGAGGATCCTCCCAACACCCTTTATTTGGTGCTCCCTTCTCTATCTGAGCTGCCTTTTTCCCTAGCGTGTGCGGCTGGCCCCCAAGCCATGGAGGAAAACTCCTGGTACCTATCTCGTTTATTCTTGGGTGTTAGTTTCCTATTTTGTTACTTTATGTTCCCTGGATGAATGCAATCTTTCTATGTCTATTCCTTTCTTTCTGACTTGTATCGCTTAGCATGATACTTTCCATGTGGTACCACTTGTATGTAAATTTCATGACTTCTTCTTTTCTGACAGCTACATAGTACTCCATTGTGTAGATGCACTAAACTTTTTTTAACCAGTCATCGATTCTTTGGCACTCAGGTTTTTTTCCAGATTCTGTCTATTGTAAAGAGTGCTGCAATGAACAAACAAGTGCAGATGTCACTTCGACTATACTTTTTTGCCTCTCTGGGATATATTCCCAGAAGTGGTATTGCTGGGTCAAATGGGAGCTCAATTTCTAATGTTTTGTGAGTCGTCCATACTGTTTTCCAAAAGGGCTGAACCATTCGGCATTCCCACCAGCAATGAAGGAGGGTCCCTTTCTCATCACATCAGCACCAACAGCGGTTGCTTTTGTTCTTTTGGATGTGGCCAGTCTCTGTGGTGTGAAATGATATCTCATTGTTGTTTTGATCTGCGTCTCCCTGATGATTAATGATGTAGAACATTTTCTCATGTGCCTTTTAGCCATTCGGATCTCTTCTTTGAGAAAGTTTCTGTTCATTTTGTTGCCCCAGTTTTTGATGGGGTTGGATGTTTTCTTCTTGTGGAGTTCAATCTGTACTTTGTATATCCTTGATATCAACCCCGTTGTCAGATGTGTATTGGGCGAATATCTTTTTCCACTCTGTAGACTGTTTTTGTAAAATTATGGAATGTTTCACAAATATGTGTGGTATCCTTGCGCAGGAGCCGTGCTTATCTTCTGTGTATCATTCAAATTTTAGTATATATGCTGCCAAAGCGAGCACTGTTATGTTGTTTTATACTCCACAAATGACTGCAGTCCTTCAATGTCTGTCCCTCTGTTTCTGAATCATTTCACTTAGCATGATACTGTCCATGTCTATCCATTTATAAGCAAATTTCATGACTTTTTCTCTCCTAACTTTTTCATAGTATTCCATTCTGCAGATGTCCCAAAGTTTCTTTTTCCAGTCATCTATTCTAGAGTACTTGAGTTGTTTCCAGATATTGGCTATTGTGAACAGTGCTGTAATGAACATACATGTACAGATGTCATTTCTACTTGCTTTTTTGTATTCTCTGAACATATTCCCAGAAGTGGTATTGCGGGGTCATATAGCAGCTCAATTTCTAGTTTTTTTTTTCATTTTTTCTAATTTTATTTATTGAATCACCGTGAGTGCAGTTACAAAGCTTTCGGTTCTAAGTCTCAGTCATACAATGAAACACTCATACCTTCACCAATGCCCATTTTCCACCCCCAACAACCCCAGTATACCCGATCACAAACCCTCCACCTATCTGTGGGGCAGATGATTTCCATATTATTCTCTCTTTAATTTGATCACTTTCAATATTTTGACACCAGATCCACCATTATTATTTGATATATTACCCCAACACTCAGAGCAGGTGAATAGGCAATGGTATTCCGTTTGTTTTCTATTTCTGGTTATAAATAACATGACGTCTCGTGGCTGCAGTAGTGGCCGCTCTATTTTGAAATTCTGAAATTTTTTTTGTTATTTATTTATTGAATCGCTGTGGGAAAAATTACAGAGCTTTCAAGTTTAGGTCTCAGTCATGCAAATATCAATCACAATTCCCTTTACCAATACTTATTTTTTACCACGAAGAACCCCAATAAACCCCCACCCCCCAAACCCCCCCCAATGTCTGTGGGGTAGATGAATTCTAGTTAACACTCTGTCTACTTTGACTAGCTTCATTGTTTTGATAAAAGTTGCACCATTATTATTTACACTTTACCGCCCCCCCCCACCAAACTCAGCCATGCTGAAAGAGCATTGTGAAATGATCTGCTTTCTACAGCTGGGTTCAAGAATTAAAAGATGTTGTGCGGCTGCTATTGCGGCCTCACGGTTTTGGATTTCTGCTATTTTATTTATTAACCCTGCAAGTATTTCTACTGAGAGTCAGATAATTAAGAGATTGGTCTCTGTGCTTCTGGGGCCTTGGCCGTGCCGGAGAGCCGCTCGTGGGGGGCAACTGGTCAGGCGTGAAGGACCGGCTGGAGCAACCCCCCCCACCCCCCCACCCCCTGTCCCATGAGGTATCCATCGCGCCCCCACCCCCGGCTCAGACCTGCTCTCCACCAGGCTCCCATGCGACCGTCATCGTTCTTTCCAGAGAGGAGAGGGCGGAAGGGAGCAACACCCTTTTCCCTCCAGGCAGGTAAGATGGCGCGGATTAATGCATAGTCTGTTCGCTTTTCTGCTCCAAGCTGGTGGATTTCTGTATTAAGTCCTTGTGCTTCTGGGGTCGTGGCTGTGCCGGAGAGCCGCTTGTCGGGGGCAACTGGTGACCTCGGTCGGGCGTGAAGGACGGGCTGGAGCACCCCCCCATCCCACGAGGTATCCTTCGCGCCCCCGCTCCTGGCTCAGACCTGCTCTCCACCAGGCTCCCATGCGGCCGCCATCTTTCTTTCCAGAGAGGAGAGTGCGGAAGGGAGCCAAAATTCTGAAATTTTAACACTTAAATCTGGAGGGATTTCTGCCAAAACCTGCTGGGTTCCAAGATTTGCTCCTGAGTCTCTGGGATCATGGCCATTAAGCAGCTTGATCAGGAGCCAGAGAGGCTGTTCGTGGGCGATGACATGAGGTCTTGTTGGGATAGAGAGGACAGGATCAGCTCCACCCACCTCCTGTGAGCCCCAACAAGTTTCGTCAATGCTGGCCCAGTCCTGACTGTCCAATGGCCTCTGGAGAATGATGGCCACCCAGCCTCAAGTGGGAAGCAGGAGGAGGGAACACACCCTTCCCCCCCCTGCTGTGGCCCAGTGACAGTAACCTACTGTGGGGTCCAGATGCATTTTGCCAAAAGCCACTGGGTTTCGAGATTTGTTTCTGAGTCTCTGGGATCATGTTCATTAAATAGCTTGATCAGTAGCCAGAGAGGCCATATGTGGGCGATGACTTGGGGTCTCGTTGGGTTGGGGAGGACAGGACTCACTCCACCCCCATCCCATGAGACCCCAGATGTCTCGGTACTGCGGTCCAGTGGCTTCTGGAGGATGGCGGCCACGGGGCCACCAGGGGGAACATACTAAGGCACGAAACCTATTCCCACCTAGGTTGGCCCAGCACCTGTAACCTACTGCAGGGACTGGACATATTTCTGCCTAAAGCCGCTGGGTTTCGAGATTTGTTTATGAGTCTCTGGGATCATGGCCATTAAGCAGATCGATCAGGAAGCAGAAGATGCCATGCCTCCAATTATATAGCTGAGCCAGAGGTGGTTTGTGGGTGTGTTTCCCACATACCTATTTTTTGGCTGTTTACTTTGTTGGTAAACTTCGCCCCAAGGTTTTGGGGTCTGGTCAAAGGCACAGCAGCAATTTTGGGGTATCTGGAAGTTTGAAGGCACCATCAGGTTGCTGATGCACTCGCCTCACAGGTACAGATTGACCTGCTGGCGTCACCATTCCCCTTCAATTTCTAGTTTTTGAAGGACTGTCCATATTGTTTTCCAGAAAGGTTGGACTGTTGGGCATTCTCACCAACAGTGAAAGAGTATCTATTTTCCCCACTTCCACGACAGTACTGGTTGTTTTTGTTCTTTTGAATGTGTGCTAGTCTCTGTGGTGTGAGATGTTATCTCATTGTTGTTTTGATTTGCATCTCCCTGATGGCTAGTGATGTGGAGCTTTTTTTCATGTGCCTTTTGGCCATTTGTATTTCTTTTTTGAGGAAACTTCTGTTCATTTCTTCTCCCCATTTCTTGAAGGGGTTGGAGGTTTTTTTTCTTGTATAATTCTACTAGTGTCTTATATATTCTGGATATTAATCCCTAATCAGATATGTATTGGGTAAATATTCCTTCCCATTCTGTGGGATCTTTCTGTATTTTGGTCTCTGTTTCTTTTGAAGTGCAGAAGCTTCTTAGTTTGATGTAGTCCCATTTGTTTATGTTTTCTTCCACTTGCATGGTCAGTACTGTTTCATCCTTAAAGATGTTTTTAGCTTCAATGTCGTGGAGAGTTCTGCCTAAATTTCCCCCTACGTATTTTATAGGTTTATGTCTGATATTGAGGTATTTAATCCACTTTGATCTGACTTTTGTGCGTGTCATTAGACAAAGGTCAGCATTCATTTTTTTGCAGGTAGCTATCCAGTTTTCCCAGCACCCCTTGTTGAAGAGGCTTTCCTTGTTCCACTTCACATTTCTTGTTCCTTTGTCAAAGATTAAGTGGTCATATATTTGGGGGTCTGTGACAGAATATTCGACTCTGTTCATTGGTCTGCAGGTCTGTTTCTAGCCCAGTAACATACTGTCTTAATTACTACAACTTTGTAGTACAATTTGAAGTTGGGGAGGGTGATGCCACGCATTTTCTTTTTCCCAAGGATTGTTTTAACTTTTCGTGAGGGTTTATTGTTCCATATGAATTTCAGGGTTGTTTTGTCTACTTCTTTGAAAAATGTCATGGGTGTATCCAGACTCACTTTATGTAAAAAATTAGTCAATGTTATTTTGCTAATAATAATTTATATTTTAAAATGATTGCATCTTTGAAGATAATTGAGGATCCCCAAAAATGTAAGTGTGGAATGGGTGGGATTTTGGCATGGGTGATAGCATTGCTTCAAACAAAACAAAATAAACAACATGAATCTACATTTTTTTCTTCCAATTTTTTTCTTAATAAGTAATAGCTCTCTTTACAATGGTGATGCCATACTTTCCAACTACCATTTTTTATCGTGGAAATATTTTTAATATTATAATCAGTAGGATACAAACTGATGTTAATAGTAAAATTCATCTAGAGAAAGTGATACTTTGTGTTCTAAAGTTTACCTCACTATACTTAAATTCTTCAGTCTTTATTTTGTTTTCATATGTATATTTGTAGTTTTCTGAGTAGAAAAGCAATACATTATAGAAAATATGGTAACCAAAAATGTAAGGAAAATGAAATTGCTTTAAATTTGCCTAAAACAAATATAAATTACAAAGAGCAGGGTATGTACCTTTATATTTCAGTATATTTTTACGAGTACTTGTTACTCACATAAATGTAATGGGTACATATTTTGTAAAATAATCAAATACCAGCTTACTTATATTAATACACCTGAAATAAAAATTTATAAAGAACAATTAATATATGATTTCTACACATTTTCCCTTTTTCCTTTGCTATTGCAAAGCCATTGTGACTATTGGATCATTTATTCTCAAGCATCATTCTGTTTTAGTTATTTTCTGTTCACTAGTACTTATTTATCACCACGAAGAACCCCAATATACTCCCCCACCCATCCCTCCCAATGCCTGTGTGGCAGATGATTTCTAGTTAACTCTCCCTATACTTTGATTACATTCATTATTTTGACAAAAGATGCACCATTATTGTTTAAAATTTCCCCCCAACAATCAGAATTACTGAAAAGGCATTGTGAAATAATTTGTTTTCTATAGCTGGTTATGAGAACCATATGATTCATATTTTGAATTTATGATATTTTACTAGGTAAGTCTGTAGGGATTTTTGCCAAGAGCCAGATAATTGTGAAGTTGGTTTATGTGCATCCGGTGTTATGGCTGTGGTGGAGAGCCGCTCGTGCGGGGCAACTCGTGACCTCGGTAGGGAGTGAATAATGAGCCGGTACTGCCCCCCCTTCCCATGAGACTGCAGTTGCCCCATCACCTCTGGCTCATACCTGGCTTTTCAGTAAGCTCCGAGGCTGTGGCCACCTTGCTGACGAGGGGAAAAAGGCGGAAAAGAGCGACAGCCTTTCCTTCCCAGGGCAGCATGGTG